AAGCGCCGGCCACGGAAACGGGGAAGGCTTGGTTTCTGTAAACTCTTCAATTATGGGCACTGCATAGTCAGATCTGCCCCTTTTAGGCTCAGTCCTCCGTGCTCACAGAACCCAGCTCTCAAATCCCCCGGGCGGCGCCAGGAATCCCGCGGATCTCCCCTCCCCAGTCAGGGGCTGTGCCTGTCCCAAGGGACGCGGCTGTCTGCCACGCGGTCTCCCTCCAACTGTCTGGGCTCAGAGGTCCGGCAAACTTTCCTGCCCAAATCCCTGGGTTCCTTTTACCTTTCCAGGGGAGTTCTGCTCTTCCCGGCTGCAAACTGTCTCACCAGCTGAGCAATTTCACCAATTCGGGGTGGGTGCTATTAGTTTCAGCTGCTCACTCCATTTGCTCCGGGACACGACCTGGGACGCGTCTGCCTATATCGCCGCCATCTTCTCTCTCCTAATAATTAGAACTTGTATATTCCTAGTGAGTCTACTCCATTTTTATAATGGCCAAATTCTCACTTCTTACATAAGTAGCTTGAGTTGCAATTTGTTTCTAGCAGTTATTTTTCTATTACCACTCTATTCTACTGAGATTAAATCAAATTCTAGTGCGTAGATCTCTAACTCTGAACCAAAGGGAGTTATCTTCAGTTTCTAACATTCATTTCTATCACCTTTTGTCCATATCGTTTACACCTTTCTTAGAGAAATCTCGTATTTCTTATTTTTTGGTGTCTGAACTTGTTAATAATTGTGGACAACTCGGGAGAGGAAAGGATGAGAATGCATTGTGGTAAGTTCAAAGTGTGGCACCCCTGCAATGAAAGGATAATTCATGAGTGTTCTAGTTGACAGATATAAGATATCTAAGACATCCCATCTAGATAAAGGGTTATAGTGTTTTTCTTATCTGTTGTCATAAGCAATTGAATTTTACTTACCCTGTATTAATTCTTCACATTTGAGCAACTGGCTGTCAACTAGTTTGAGTTTAATGTTTTGTGTGTTTTCATTCATTTGTGTGTGTGTGTGTGTGTGTGTGTGTGTGTGTGTGTTTTCTAGGGACTTTACAGGAGAGTCAAGATGCTATTTCATAGCTAGCTAGCCAATTTCAGTTCAAACCAAAATATAAGTAAATGTTTTGAAGTCAGTGAAAACACAAAGTTGAACATACAGTATGATTTCATACACATGAAAATGCACAGGAAAAAGTGACTAGCTTGAAACAAGATGAAAGTTCACTTTAAAGCAGCGGTTCTCAACCTGTGGGTTGTGACCCCTTTGGCTGTCGAACGACCCTTTCACAGGGGTCACCTAAGACCATCCTGCATATCAGATATTTACATTATGATTCATAACAGTAGCAATGTTACAGTTACGAAATAGCAATGAAAATAATTTTATGATTGGGTCACAACATGAAGAACTGTATTTAAAGGGCCAGAAGGTTGAGAACCACTGCTTTAAAGCTTTTATATATATCATAATTATGTATATTTATAGTGGAAAAAGAAAATACACTTTAATTTTAAATATATAGAAATCCTCCTAAGAATCTCCTCTTGAAGCAAATTATTCTTAATGAGTGTTAGGCAAAACTAAATGTTGCTTGGTTTATTTATAGAATTTGCTTTCCTAGTAGCATGTATTTGGCTTAAGATTGAGCTTTGATTAAAGCTGTTAAATGAACAGAATTATACGTTATCTTTATTGTGATTATTCTGAAGATGTGAATTCTGATCAAATCCCCTATAATACTCATGGCATTTATGGGGTTTCTCTCTTGTGTGGACTTTTTGATGAATTCAAAGAGCTGAGCTATGACCGAAACCCTTACCACTGTTAGCACATTATAAGGCTTCCCTCATGTGTGGACTCTCTGATGAATGTGAAGATTAGAGCTGTGACTAAAGCTCTTTCCACAAGCATCACATTTATAGGTTTTTTCTTCTGTATGGACTCTCTGATGAATGAGATGTGAACACTGACTAAATCCCTTTCCACATTGTTCACATTTATAGGGTTTCTCTCCAGTATGTACTCTTGATGAGTGGGAAGCTTTACACTCTTGCTGAAGCTCTTCCCACATTCATGACAAATACAGGGTTTCTCCCCCGTATGGACCCTCTGATGAATGCGAAGATCTGAGCTGTGACTAAAGTCCTTCCCAGGTGTCACATTTATAAGGCTTCTCTCCTGTATGGAATCTCTGATGAATTTGAAGATTTGAGCGCTGGATAAAGCCCTTACCACAGTCATCACATTTATAGGACTTCTCTCTTGTGTGAACTAACTGATGAATTCTAAGATTAGAGCTCTGGCTGAAGGCCTTACCACATTCATCACATTCATATGGTTTCTCTCCTATGTGGACTCTCTGATGCACATGAAGTACTGAACTCTGACTAAAACTCCTGCCACACTGACCACACTTAAAAGGCTTCTCTCCTATGTGAAGTCTCTGGTGAATGTGAAGTAATTAATTTCTACTGAAGTCCTTACCCACAGTCAAGTTTATAGAGTTTCTCTTCTGTGTGGACTCTCTGACAAAACTGAACACCTATGCTCTGACTAAAGTTACTGTCAACTTCATCACATCTGTACAACTTCTTACCTATGTGGATTCTTGGATGTCTGTATAGGTCTGATCCCTCAAAGAAACATGCTGTGTTGAGGGAGCACTGATAAAACTTTTCTCCAAGTTGATTTCTCTTGTGGAGAATATACTGTGAGTTCCAATAATAAGTTTCCTTACATTTATTACATCCACAGTATTTCTCTTCCATAGTATCTTTCAGTAGGTCATTTAGGCATAACTCCTCAATGTACTTTGGAAGAATTTCCTCCATTGGGACATAAGAAGCTGAACTATGAGCTTCTGGGTTTTGTTTCAATGGAGAGATTTTTCCTGCATATGCTAATATGATACCTGCTTCCTTAAAAACCATGTGAATCTCTCACATACATTTCTCTACCACTGTCTTGAGTTTGTTTTGTTTCTAAGGATTGCCAAGGTATAAACTTTGTATATTTTAAGTTTCTGGGACTTTTGCCTTCAAAAGTCAGTTCATAGTTCCTATAACCTGGTACTTGTGTAGAGACTATTAACCATTCTTGATGGTGGGAAAGATCTTGCTGCTTTAGGTCTTTGGAATCTATCCCTTGAATAGTTTCCACATAGTTTCGGTTCTCATATGTCTGAGGGCTAGTATTCCTCCAACCTTGCTGGCGGGAAAGATTTTCATGCTCTAAAAATCTGAATCTTTCTTTTTGGGGTTTGTAGCTCTCTTTCCAGTTTCCTAGAAGAATAAACAGATAATCCAGTGGTGAGATGAAGGCTGTGTTTAAAATTTGTAAGTATCTCAGTCAATGACCTTCAGAATTATAGGAATATATGTGTGGGTGGGAGTGGGAAAGAAGGATTATGGCTTAGGCTGCTCCATATTTGGGTTTGAAATTAATTTGTTTGTTCATTCACATATATATTCATTCACTCACTTATTCATTCCACAAATCTATCTTGAGGATCTACTACTAATCAGGTACTCTTAGAAATAAAAGAGTAAGGCTGACTGCTTCACAGAAATAGTTTTCAAGATGAGATTTAATTAGATTACTCTATTTGAGGCATTATTTTAAGAAAAAAATACTGTTTCTACTTTTCTGTTCTCGAATAGTATCACAGATTATGTTTAAAAAAATGGCTGCATTAACTCTCTATTTACAGCTTTGTGTTCCCTTTCCACACTGACTTTAGGCTTGGCTCTTTGGTCACTAGGACAGTAACAGAAGTGATATAAACAGAGACTTGAAAATTCTGTGACTACCACCGTGTAAAGGAGCCTGGGCCAGCCTGCTTGAAGAGAGATATATATTCCACCCCTTCCCAGTATCCCCACTGATGCTGACCTACTGCCAGATATGTGAATCAGGCTATCTAACCTAAACTTACACCATCCATCCTTAACCAAGTCACTCCATGATGGGAGGTTCATCTAATCAATTAGAATAATAAAAAATACTCTTTTTTAAGTCAGTAAGTTTGGGGTAGTTTGTTATACAGGCAAAAGCTAACTTATACAAATAGTATGAAATGAGAACAAATTTAGGACCACACAAAATTAATTGTAGTATGTGAAGATCTGTGCTTTAAGTGCAGTCCAATAAATAAGAACAATTACAAATACCTATTAATATAACAATGAATTATAAACATGATATAGGTAATATCAAATTTGATGGCTTATTTAATTAATGATGCTCTATTGACGTAACCACAAAACGAACTGACTAGTCATTTGGCAAAAAAAAAAAAAAAAATTAAGCTAAGTTCTTAATTAGCTTAATTAAAAATTAAGCTGCCTCAATTCCGATGTTTTAGTGACCAGAAAGTTATATAAGCTATGCATTATATTTTAAATAATAACATAACAACTGTTGGTTCTATTTGTCAAGCACTGTACTAAGTTTTTACATGTATGATCTCATTTAATGTTCTTAACAACTCTATATACTAGGTTCTGTTTTTCCATTTAAGATGAGAATCTGTTTAAGTAACCGAATCTAGTTTGCATAAACCAAGTTATGTAGGGGCATGAATCAAGTTTAGGTAATGAGTCTAGCACCTGTATTTTGACTAATATGGTATATTACTAAAAAAATACTGAAAGATTAATATATTCAATATCTAAAAGTTATTAACTTTTACTTCCTTTTTTTCAAAATAAAAATTATCAGAATGTTATTCTGTGGAATATTCCCAATGTGTAAGCTATCTTCTTTCCTTTTCCTTATCTTCACTGAGTGAAAAACAAAAGCTAAATTACTCATTACAGTAGGTCCTCAAGTTACGTCGGAGATCTGATCCTACGTTGCAACGTAAAGTGATTTTCGCCAGTAAGTCGGAACCCACCTACACAAGCACCTACGTCACTCACATGGAGCACACACACAGCAGTAATGAAGTGGAACAGTAAAAAAAATTTAAAAGAAAGATAAAAATTCCTGACCTTTACTTGTGGTAAATAAATAATAAAAAACATAAAGCACACATGTACATACGTCGAAATGACGGAATTTTTTTTTTTATAAATAAATGGGAGATGGCGACGTAACCACAAAACGATGTACGTCGAGTCCGATGTAACCCAAGGTCTGTCTGTACCCATTTAATGCACTAATATACAGGAATACGATTAAATACATTCTGAAACAAGTATAAGAATTGAGAAATAGGTCCATGTAATAGGACAGTCCTAAAAGCGATCTGTGTTATGTGAGTGTGTAAAGAATTTAGTAATTTGGGCCGAAACCGGTTTGGCTCAGTGGATAGAGCGTCGGCTTGCGGACTGAGGGGTCCCAGGTTCGATTCCGGTCAAGGGCATGTACATGGGTTGCGGGCACTTCCCCGGTGGGGAGTGTGCAGGAGGCAGCTGATCGATGTTTCTCTATCATCGATGTTTCTAACTCTCTATCTCTCTCCCTTCCTCTCTGTAAAAAATCAATAAAATATATTTAAAAAAAAAGAATTTAGTAATTTGGATATGAAAAGATAGCACCACAATCAATGGAGAAAGGAAATGTTATGAGAAAAATACATGGGAAGAAAAAAGAATGCTAAGTTTGATAGTTAAAGTTTTATAATACTTGAAACTATAAAATTGAAAAAATGAAAGTGATTATATATTAGATCTGGGGATGAAGAAGAGATTTCAAAGCAAATCTATATAAATAAAAAGAAGTAAGATTTCACTTTATGCAAATTTTTTAAATTTCAAAAACTTATATATATATATTAATTTCTCTATAGACCTATATCTTAGATAAACCCATGTGTGTATATTTTGTAAATATATGTATGTATACATATGCATACATATAAGTGTTTGTACAGATTAGTGAGTATAATGTATATTAAGTATTAGATAAAGGACTATAAGTCAATAATGGCTGCCTCTAGCTGATATGCAGGGGACTCTCTGAGTGGTGTATAAGAATAAGTAACCAATTAAATATTAATAGCTTGTGAACAAAATGGCCTCACCTTATCCATTCATACTTACCCTCTACTGCAACTAGCCCATTTTCCATATTTGTCCCTTCAAATTCTACCTGAGATTAGATGATGATCTTCCTGTTTGGAATGATACCTTCCTATACATAATGATTATCCAAATCTGAGTTGCTGGTACTGACTTAAGTGCCACTCATTCTGGCACTGTTTAATGTGCAACGACTTTAGAAATATTAACTTCATATGGCTTATTTCCCCAATGTTAAGGAAAGACACTATTTATCTCAGAGCACAGGAACAATATGAATTATACAGTAGACTTTAATGACTAAGTAAATGTTGGGAAAAGACACTGGGAAGGAGGCAGGGGCTTGCTGCATAGGAGACTTCCCAGGCAAGCAAGCAACACAGAGCATTCTATTTTGTCTATCCATCCATTCCCATCACCACTACTCTCACTGTTCAGGGACATTTTATAAAGGAGAAAAGACAATCCTACTCACCTGGGGTCAGACAATGAGGAAAAGAGTGAACATTCCTTCCTACTTTCTGCTCCTCTTTTGGGTAAGGGTGGATGGAGTGGTGAGAAGGCTGAGCTGAGGAGAGGGAGAAATGAAAAGACTAGGCATGAAATTCCCAAACCCAGGACAATCCCACATACTAATGGGGTATTATCCCCAAATCCCCTACAAAGAGGTCAGAAAGGACCCAGGAATGTTTCTGTTCCTTTTCAAAGACCAGGAAAGCTCTGAGGGCTAGCACCCAAGACCTTGTTTCTGACCCTCTAAAAACTTCAAAGGTACAATTCTAGTTTGAACATGAAAACACAGAATTTTATCTCATTGCTTAGTCCCTCCAGGGAGGCATAGGCTCTCCATGTAATTTAACCTCTTGAGCTTCAAGGCTTTCTCAGTTTATTATTAACAAGAACAATAAAAAATAATAGATACAACAACAGAGTAGTTAAATAGCTTATATTTATTTTTTCTTATTTTGTTCATCAGTTAAATATATAATTCCATTGCTCTCCCCTACTTGTTACATCAGAAATACCAACTTTACTAGCAGAGCACCCAGAGTCTTAGAAAAGGACCCCAGCTCCTGATCACAGCCTCAACTCTTGTCACCCACCACTTTGTGGAACTTTGGAAAGGACCAAACTTGTAGACCACCTGGGGCTCACTTTCCTCACCTGAAAAATGGAGGCATGAATGAGCCTTCGCCAGGAGTCCTGCCTTGCTGATCTGATCACAGGTCCCGGAGGAAAAAGATCAACAGTTAAGAGCCCTCTTTCTTTGGTGAGAAAAAAGGACTCATGGGTGTCCCAAGAGCCGGACAGGTTTGGGTTCCCCAGCGCTCCACGGGCTGCAGGAGGGTCTGGATTCGGAGGTACGAATGGTTCTAGAGGAGCAGCCAAGACCTGCGCGGCCTCTGCTCCCGCAGCGAAGGCGGGCGCGGTCTCCGATCCGCGTCCAGACCCCCGACCCGCCCCGACCCCGAGCACTCCGAGCCCAGGGCCCGAGCTGCCTGTGCCCTCCGCTCCCCTTCCCCTCATTCCGTTTTAACCTGGGGCGGGCGGCTGCGAAGAACCCACCTACCAGGTGTCTCCAGGATTTCGAAACCCGGGCGCCCCTCGGCCCTGACCCTCCCTTTTCTGCCGCTGGCTCTCCAGCCACAGCCCGCCCCGCCCTCGTCCCTCTGGCTCCGAGCTCCCGAGAGTCACTCATGAAGCCTCGGAGGAGGACGGCGACTACCCAAGTCACTCCGGCTGCACACACTTTGGCCGCAGCCCCGCTAGAGGGGACCAAAGCGGCAGGCCTGGGCGTGGACGCCCGGCGTTTCCATGGAGACGGGAGGGGGCGGGCGGGAAAGGCGAGCGCGGAGGACGTGGCTCCTGATTGGCCAGAAAGATCGGGATGCAGTTGGGCGCTTTGAGAGGAAGATGCGGCCAAACATCCCAGATACTAAAAACATGCAGATATTTTAGGCGCTTTCCGGGCCCCTGGGAAGGGGGACAGGGCCAGGAGTTCTGGGAAAAGGGAGACCCTCAAGTCCCACTAGTGCGGAATCCCCATCAGGAACCTGGGGGAACCCTCGTTGTCAGGTTGCCTTTGGGGGCGAGGAGCGGTAGCTCCCGCTGGCTCGCGCCCTTGGTGTTAGGTCTGCCCTAGCATCATCCCTAAACTTGGGGTTGGAGTCAAGCAGCCAGGAAGAGGACCTTTCACATTCCAGTTCAGGTTGCGGGACACCCGCTTCGCTCCAGGGTGGATGGGGCTTTCCTCCCTCCCCTCTTCCTGCCAATTCCTGGGCTCCCCTGGGGACTGCAGGCAGAGATAGGAAAGGCGAGGTGGGAGCGTAGTGGAGTCTTGGAAAGGACCTTCTCCATGTCCTGATGAAACGAGAAAGTTGGATTAGAGCGCGTGGTGTTCCTCTGGGCAGGATGGTTCCCAGGTCCTTGTCTGGTGGAGTCGAAGAATGAAATCATGGACAAAAGGTGGTATAATAAAAGATGGAAATTTATTGAGGAACAAGCACAGACTTCCACGTGGGGAGGGGGAGAGAGTCCTACTGGGTCCCCTTTTTCCATGGTTTATAAAGGCTGCGGTTCTTTGTGCCTTGACATCCCCTCTGGTCAACTATCCCCTCTAATTTGGTCACTATAGCAACCTCGGGGCTCATATGGCACCTGAGGTACCTGAGGTTCTCCTCTTCTTCTCCCTTATTGTTTTCCTATTCCCTTTGGGCTTTCCCCTCTCTGAATGAGGGGCTTCCTTCCCTTTATTCTGTAAATGTATATCTTCTGCAGCTCCCAGATCCCTTATTCTATGGAAATGTACCTTCTGCTGCTCTGTAGCCCTGCGCTTTTTCTATGAACCTCTTAATTCCTAAAATGTCCTAAAACCTATTTTACCCCTAAAAACTCCTTTCACTGAGAACAGGAGAAAGAGAACCAAGCATCTGCTCATCTGTTATCTAGTTGAGTGTGTTATCTTAGGGACATGTTTTCATATTCTTGAGCACTTTCCCTCAAACTTGGGCAGGATTCGTTCTATTCAAGATTTAGTAGGCAAGGAACCTTTATTAGGGGAGTCTTTAAAAGCAAGGGACTCCTTGGATTCTAATGTGACTATGCCACTTACTGGTGATGTGACTTTAGCTGAATGACAGCCTTTTGGTGTCAGTGACCCCACCTTTAAAAGGGGAATAACAACAGTAGCCATTTCACAGGCTTGCTGTTAGAATCAACTTAATGTAGTCAAAATGCTAACCTACTCCCTGGCACATAGGAAGTACCCTATAAATGTTAACTATGTATTTACATTTCAGTGTTTAGCAGGAGTCGGTAGTCCTGGGCCTACTCCTCTCGTCTCACCACGAAATGAGCCCCTGAATTTCTTATGAGTCCCAAGACTACTATTTGATAATCACTGTGTGAGCACCCCTGGTCCCTGGCTTAAATATTCCAAGGCAGCATAGCATAGCATTTAAGAGCTTGGACTTTGCTGTCAAACAGAATTCACTTTAAACCTGTCATTGTTATCCATTTAGTGATGTTGGGTAAGTTATTTAATCTTTTTCCCTCCGTTTTCTCATCTGTAAGATGAAGATGTTAATGTAGTTAAATAGTTAACAGTTGAGAAAATTCTGTAAACACAGGCTTTAACCGGTAAGAACAAGAACTGGAGGTCAACTGCTCTGCCATGCTGGTTCCAACCTGTAGAACATCAGTTCTGATTGTTAAAGAGAAAGTGAGATAATTCATGTATTTGCTTTTACAGTTTCCTGGAAAATAAAAACATCAAATGTTAGCTGTTGATGTTATTATTTACCTTATAGTCTCATTTTTTAAAGTGTGCTTTGAGACTGAACTATTGTGTATCAGAAAATCTCAGAAGTATAACTGAGTCACCTGGACTTTGAGTTCTTGTGAACTTATTTTGAGATGGTGTGGAACCCAGGGTTTTGTTTCAAATAACTGATTATTTTCTAATTAATTAATTAATTGATTGATTAAGAGCACTAATCCTTAAGGACTTTCACCCCAGACACCCTGATAATGTCTTCATGCCAAGGTTGGGATATACTGGGGAAAATTGGGGCTTTTGCATGTAAAAGAAAGTAAATGAGTCTACCTACCATTTCATAAGGTCATTCACAGAACAGGACAGTAGCTCTCTTCTATTTCCTGCTGTCTGCTTTTCCTAAGCAGATAACTGGGGCTTATGGAGAGAAAACTTGAGCTTAGAGCACTGGTCTAGAGACCTGATGGTGGACCTCTTTCCATCCTTTTGGGCTGGATAAGGACGCAGAGAACAGCATCAGAACCTTGATGTGAAGACTTGAAAGTTGCCACTTCAAGAAATACCTTCTTAAAAAGACCCTGGATCTCTGCTCTGTGGGCCCCTTAGGAGACCTGTATAATTTACTGGGGTCTTTGACTCTCAAGAGACCAAGAAGATGATGCACATGTGGGCTGACTGTTCCCTGTGCTGAGACAGATATTATGAGATTAGGGAGTAAAAGGGTTTAATCCAGGTGCCTCATTTGGAAAGTGGCAGACTTCATGCTTCTATCCAATAGTGATCAGCAGTAACGACCCTTTGCCTCTTCGTCTTCCTCTAGCTGTGGGACTACTGCTATTTAAAATATCTTATTAAGCAGACCTGAACCTCAATGAACTGACAAAAACAAGACAACTAAGGGATTCAGTTGCCAGATGGAAAACAATGAGTAAAAACAGACAGAATGTGCATCTAGGGAAATGTAACTGCTAGAACAGCGGATTATAGTATTAATGACAAAAAAGATAATCTAGTATAGCATACAGACTTTTTGGAATTTAAAGATATATTAAAAATAAAATTAAAGTTATCTATATTTACAAATATATGTATCTTCTATTTAATCAGTTTAGCAAGTGAATTGAAGATGGTCACTTTTGAGACTCAAGAACTAGATGGCTTAAAGAAATACCCCAAAGCACAGAGGGAAAAAGATGGAGATGGAAATCATAAAGAAAAAAAGATAATAGACTTAAAGGATGGATCTATAAGACTACAATATACAAACACAAAGTTCCAGAAGGATAAAAAGAAAGGAGTGAAGAAATAAATGAAAAACAAAATAATAGAACTGTCTCTAGGTTTAAAAACATTTTTTAAAGATTTTTAAACTGATTTTTAGAGAGAGAGAGGAAGGGAGAAAGAGAGAAAGAAACATTGAAACATTATCTGCTGCCTCCTGTCTCCTGCACATTGATGGACTAACCCCTACATGCACCCCACTGGGAATTGAGCCAGCAAACAGGTAACCCTTCAGTGCACAGGACAACACTCAACCAACTGAGTCACACTAGCCAGGGTAATGTTGAAAATTTTTTAAAAGGCTTGAATCTAAAGATCTAAAGAATTCATAACATTTCAGTCTAGATTAGTGAGTAAAGACAGCAGGCATATACAAATGTAATTCCTACATATTAAGGATGAAGAGAAAACTCATAAAATTACAAGCAGAAAGGACAAGAAAACTAAAAAACTAAATAACATTAGACTTTTCATTTGTAATGTTGGAAGCTAGAAAACAGTTAAATAACATCTACAGACTAGTAAAATAAAGAGGCTTAAACCATCAGCCAAAATGTAGTCACCTGTCCTGGGCAAATAAATACTTGAGGATTTGCAAAAATTCAGTGTGCATCAGTTAGGTCTCCCCCATCTGAAGAAACAATTCAAGGAAGGACTCTAAACAAACAGCAAATAAACTAAAAACAGAAATAACTGAGGAAAATCATGGAAAAGGAAACAGAGGAATCCATGATGTAAAATAAATAAGAAACGAAGTCACATCTAAAGAATGAAAGAAATTCTCAGTCATTGTGCTAAAGGTGAATAGTGTGAATTTTCTTATTTAAAGGCAGAGACAGGGCCAAGAAATAAAATCCAGCCCTATGCTGTTCACAAGAAACACCTGTGAGGCTGGTCTAAAAGCTACCAGGCAAACAAAAACTGCAGAAATTTCAATATTGCAGAAAATAAATTGGAAGTTAATTTAAGAGTCAAGAAAGAGATGGACTATAAATCAAAAGAAAATTTATGAAGCATAATAGCATAAAACCTGCTAAATACATAGAGCAAAAATGTATAAATTTGAGAACCTGATTAAAAGTACAATTCTGGCCCTAGCCGGTGTGCCTCAGTTGGTTGAGCATGGTCCCAATCCTCATCTGATGAATGTGATTTTAATTGCCCCTATTAACTTTGTGCCGGATTAATTTCATGAAGAGACCTCTTTAAATTTTTTTTCTGATACCGTTTGGCTAGTAACTCTGAATTTAAAAGACTTGCATTTTCCATTTTATTGCTTATAAAGTTAGCATTTCTCAAGCTGGAGTCTTCATAGAGAGCTTTAAGCCTTATTGTGTTCCCTTTCCACCCAAAGAGAAGTAGGGTCCACTTCCTGGCCCCCAGCCCCCCCACAAAGTCCCTTAGCCCACTCTGTTTTTCTGCACAGAGACAATCGTCTGGTACTACCATTCCTTGTTCATTATCTGAGGTCATTCAATACAATGTAAGCTCCATGGGAGGTGGATGGGGGAGGCGGAAAGCGAAACTTTGGATGTTTTGGTCATTGCAAGAGGGGGCCCAGAAAACTGCCAGGCACGAAGTAGGTGTTCAATAATTATACAGATTATTGGATGGATGAATGAATAAAGGAATGCTGCTTTTTGCGAATCGGCCGGTCTGAGAAAGGCCATCCGAAGCTAGGGTCCAACTCCTATCTCTTCCCCACATGTTATTGGAAATGAAGAAGGCTGTGCGCCCCCAGCTGTGTTGCACTCCTAGGGTCCTATATTGAACAATGTATCTTCTTCCAGAAGCAGCGCCTGGTAGATCAGTCCGCCCCGCAGGCCGGACATAGGGACTGGAGCAGCCAATGGGAAGACAGCCTCTCTGGGCCCAGGAGGGTCCATCGCACCCGCGGCCCACGCACAGCTCTGTGCGCCTTTAATCAGCGCGCGGCGCAGGAGGGAGACCGGCTGGAAAGGGCCAAAGAGCGAGTTTCTCCTTGGGCATCACCCGCAGGGGCCAGCTGAGCAGTGCCTTTCACTTTTTTCTTTCCCTTTTTGGTTCCTGGAGTTCAGTGCTGGGATTTAACCTCCGTCGCCGACGCCCATTGGGACCCCAGGTATAGAATCACTCTCCTCTTCTCCGCGTGTGTTTTGCCCGCTCCCAGCTGGGAAATTAGATTCCGGGAGAGCTTTGAGCGCGCGCATCCCGTGTGGGGGACAAGGAAGGGGATGCGGACCCCGGGCCCAGGGCCCAAGAGGAGCTGCCAGGACCCCCCGAAGTGGAGAACGCCAGCGGCTTGCGGGTGTGGGCGCGGGCGGAGACCGGGAGGGGGAGGCCGCTTTCCGTTGCGATCGATGCCGAGGTCACCCGTTGAAGCGGGGAGCCCGGGACTGGGGTGAGGACGAGTATAGGGAGTCCACTTCGGGTGGAGACCTAGGGTGGCCTGATTTTGAGTTCAGTGTTATGATTATTCCTCCTTTCACCGGTCCCGATAAACTGAGGAACGCCTCGCTGGGCCCCAAAGCAGGTGTTGGTCCTTCAGTCCGAGAATATTCCCTCCACCTGCTCCTAGGCGATTCCTCCTCCGCGCTGTGCCTCCCCCAGGCTCCTCTCGTTGAAAACAGAGCAGCCTAAAACTTGACAGCATTGTGCTCCACGTCGCCAGTTTCCCTCCTTCCTAGCAAAGTTGTAGAAAGAATAGCTCTGGCTTGCTCCCTGCACGGAGTCACCCCTTTACTCCTAATAGTGAGGCTTTATCACCCTCAGCCTCTCCCCTAGCAGTGGCCTAAACACGGTTTTCTCTGCAGAGATTACCAATGAGCTCCCACCCGCCAAATTCGAGTGCAGTTGGCAGGCATTTATTTCTACGTCGCTTTGGGATTTGACAAATTTAAATTGATAGTGCCGTCCTTTCACCTTCATATTGTTCCACTTATTTAAGGAATGTATTGCCATTAAAGAAAGTTGTCGCAAATTGTTCTAGACCCCAAACACAGCCATGGTTAATATTTTGAAATATTTTTTGTGCCGGTTTTTTTATGGAGAAGTTTGGTTTTAATTCCGTTTGGTTGTAATCCTCATAGTCCTACCATGTGCTCTTCCCTGCACGTGTTGCATATTGTTGCATGGAGAGGTCATTTTAATGACGAAAAAGTCAAGTGTGCTATATTTTTATGCATATATTTCATAGAGGTTACTGGTTGCAAGTCATGCATAGTGTTAGAACTCTCCATAGCAATGGACATGCAGCTTTCCAAAGGTGTAGCAGTAAATCTTCATACTAACAGTATCTGCTGCATACCATTCTCATCTTCATATGGAATTATTTTTTAAAGCTTATTTTTGGTCATTCTGATTCTTGTGAAGTGGTATCGCCTGGTTTTATTAGTTTTTAATATCTGCTCAAGTTTGAACTTTTTCTGAAATACTTGTTAGCCATTTACCTTTTTTTCTAGAATAGGTTATTTGCAAGGATTTGCTTTTAGTGCTTTCCTTATCAGTGGGTTATGTCTTTTTGGAGATTTAAACTTTAAAACCATATTTTAGT